AAAAAAAAAAAAAAGGAGTGGCCAAACAGTTACCCAAGAGCCAAGATGATAAGGCAAGGAGAGGCAAGGATGCTAGACCAATGGAAACAGAACAAATAGGATAGAAAGAAACATTGAAAATGATGACACATTATAAAAACTGTAACAACGGTATGGAAAATTCTGTATAAAAACTGGTAAAGAGGAACCTTGTTTTTTTGTTAAAAGTTTCACCTAAAGCACGATAAATAAAACTAGAAAACCCTTCTGGATAGTTCTATCTAGGAAGCAGAGACGGACCTCATGGCAGATGAAAACAATAGGTGCACAGTTTTGTGGATATACTAAAAAACACCAAAGTATATATTGTAGAATAGTGAATTGTCAAGATGTGAACTATGTCTTAATAAACAGATATACATCTAAAGATGATACACAAATACAAATAAGATTGCATTAGATCCTGCAGACTCTGGTTGCTGGTGGCAGCATAAGTTGGCACAGCAGTTTCAGAAAATGCCAAGGCTGCACATGAGAAATGGAGTGGTCTCCATGAGAAGGATGAGTTAGTTGCCATGGTGAAAACCTCCACCACAGGTATTCAGTAAACTCAGTATCCAATACCAAACAAGAACCCCACTGCCAATGGAGTCTCACTCCATAACAACTCACAGGACACAGTACAACTGCCCATAAGGTTTCCAAGGATGGAAATAGAATACATTCTTTTGTGGAGAGACTGGTGGGTTCCAATTGCTGACCTTTCAACTAGGAGTCGAATTTTTAACCGTTGTGCCACCAGGGCACTTTACTCAGCATCTAATTGGCTAAGAAACAGACAGAGGTGTTCCTCTGGGCAGCAGCTCCAGTGTGAGGTGCGCAGCTCTCTGACCACTCAGTTCTGAGAAGCATCCTTGGCTAAAAGTCCTGGCCATGACATTCCACCCCAGCAAGTTTGCTCAGGTCTGGACAGTGGTCACATTACTTCTCCCTCATTTCCACACTGGCAGCTGCCACAGTGTAGGGCAAGGTGCCTGATAATGTTTGGGGCACCGTTTGGCCGTAATTCTTCTCTGCCACTAAATACAGGCACACAAACACACACACCAGACCTAGAAACTACATCCTTGAATATCAAAATTTTGAAAGTCTCTCTTCAGCAAGTCCCCAAATGTCCTCCTGGAGATTGATTCCAAAGAAACGAGTCACAGAGGACAAAACCTGTGGACACGATGTCAGTCCTCAAAACCTGGGATGAAGGAACCTCTGGGAAGGGCTTGCAATCATTAAAGGTGACCACTGACTGAGAAGGGCAGAGGCAGCAGAAGGAGACAGCAGGGTGCTCAGAAGGAAATTGTGATTGTGCCACTCGGCGTGGGGAGACCTGGGCACCTGGAGTGACTTGTGTCATGCAGTCCCCCAGTGGTCTTGATCTTGTCTGAATCCTGAGAGACAGTAAGTCCCTGAGACACAGAGTAACACTAACCAACTTCAAAGAACCTGATGTATAAAGCAAACACCAAGCTGAATATCCCTTATACCTCTTATAAGCATTACCCAGAAGACCACCTGGTACAAAAGATTGGTCCCCAAGAAGGAAGCACTTGCTTTGTGAGAAACAAGCGCTCACTGGGTGATCCTCAGAAAGTCCCTTAAACCTCCTTAGCTTGGACTTTCTCACCTATCAGATAGAGGAGTCCCCACTTCACAGTGCTGCGGTGACAGAAGACTGACCAGGGGAGGGCATGGGCATTGACGGGCACAAGCTGGAGGACACTCACCTGGGGGACAAGCCAGCTAACCTCGTGATTGTTGACACCTAGGAGGAAGGGCACGTGGTGGAACTGTCTCTCCCTCAGGAGCTCCTTGGGGCTTTTAGGGAAGAAGATGCCATCAACAGTAGAAACCATGATACTAATTTTCTGTAGGAGAAAATAAGGCAGGGAGAGGCATGCAGTCAGGGCGCAGCCTCAAAGAATGGGACCTCGGGGGCCACCTGAGCTGCTGA